GAACTGGCGGTCACTTTCAGCAGCGGCTGAATCTGGACGCCAGTTCCGACTTACATACAGATTCAACTTAAGAACAAACCTACAGTCCCTATCTTGTACGTAACCCGGGGACTGCCTGTATGTATAGTTTACAGTTAGTTGTGGAAGATAATACAATGGAAATGCTTGGGTGTGTTCTATTGCAATATATGGCCCTCTCTGCAGCTAATGCTAAGATAGAGCCTTTTGTACTAATGCCACCAGATGGAATCAAAGCTGGGACCTCTGGAGCTTAGTGCATGAGCCTCTGTCGCTTGAGCTAAAAGCCAGCTGGCTCTCAGTTAAGGCTGTATAGAAAACTCATTCTTATTTCTCTGTGAGGCCATGTCTACACTAAGAAATTATTTAGACATTATTAAATTTGATTTATGAACTCCCAATTTAACAAATTCTATAGAAAACTCATTCTTATTTCTCTGTGAGGCCATGTCTACACTAAGAAATTATTTAGACATTATTAAATTTGATTTATGAACTCCCAATTTAACAAATTCTAATTGAGTGTCCTCACTATGGGGAAGCATTGAAATCAGTCCGAGGCAGGCTCTGTTAATGTGGACACACTGCCTTGTACTCAGAGCCCCAGGAAGCACTCTGGGTGTCTGTGAGAGTTCAAATTAGTGGCACTAGAGCATCCATACTAACATTATTTTGGAATTACAAGTTCAGAATTAGTGTTATTCCTCATGAAAAGCAGAAGTACAGAGTTCAAATTCCATGGCCCCTTAGTTCAGCTTACTAATTCGAATTTGGGGGGGGGTTATTTTGGACTAAGGTATTAGTGTAGACCAGGCCTAAATGCTGCTAGCTGGGACAGTGAACCACATCCAGCAGGTGTGTGGGTTACACACTTCCCTTAGCCGAGGAAGCATGTCCCAAGCTTCAGAGACATCCCAGTTGAAATCCCAGATGAGCCCCCATTTGTAACACTGACAGGCGGTACAGAACCTGGGCTCTCTGGAGCTTTGTGCATGAATTGCTACAGCTTGAGCTAAAATCCAGTTGGCTCACAGTTAAAGCTGTAGAACAAATTCATTCTTCGTCTCTGTAAGTAGTCTAAATGCCACTACATGGGATGGTGAACCACATCCAGCAAGGATGTGGGCTACATATGTATCTGTATTATAGCAAGAATAATTCCAATAGAGCTCCAGGTTAATGAGAGTAATAATGGAAAATAGGTGAAAGTAAATGTCCAGAGAAAGGCAATGTTGACTTGAAAACAACCCTTTTTGCTTGGATTTGTGGTTTCAAATAGGATTAATAATGAATGAGTTGGGTATAAAATATTCTTAGCTGGAGACTAAGAATAAACAAGAGGACAATGATTTCTTTTCATTTCATTATAGCGCTTGATAGTGCTTTTTATCCAATAGAGAACACCTAGAAACTAAACAAAGAATTTAACACAGCTAAGACAGGTCTTCAATAATACATTAGATTTTATTTTTTTTCCAATCAGTCTTCTTCAGTTCAGTTCTCAGAACCTTAGACTTTGTTTAGGATGCAAAAAAATGCTCTCTCACTCCCCTTGCATAATTTGTACTGAGGGTTTTGGGAAAAAATTGGTTAACTAGTTTTGAGCAAAACATTAAGCAAGCTAGTGGAGTAACAAAAAGGACAAATCTGAAATTAGGTCTCCCCAGAACCACACATATGAATGCTCTATATTTTACACCGATTCCATTAGTTACACTGGTTTGTCTCAGTGGGAATGCCAATATGACACTTAGGGGAGTGGATTTAAGGACAGACTGACAATCTTTCTGCCCCTGATAGATTAGTATGAAGGAAAACACTCATGGTAACAGCTGGTATCTCTTTGCCCTGCACTGTTAATCACTTATGAATACTGAAGCAGGATGATCAGAACTTGTGACTATAATACATGTCTCTTCACAGACAGTAGTGTAGCCCTGTCAGTCCCAGGATATAGGGAGATAAGGTGGATGAGGCAAAATCTTCTATTGGATCAACTTCTGTTGGTGAGAAAGACAAGCCTTCAAGCTTGCATGAAACTCTTAGAAGGTCTCTCAGACTTGAAGAAGAGCTTTGTGTAAGCTTGAAAGTTTCTCTCACCAGCAGAAGACAGCCCAATAAAAGATATTGCCTCATCCACCTTGTCTAAAAAGTCTCAGCAAGGTAGCTATGTTAGTCTGTAACTTTAAAAACAAGTGGCCTTATGGCACCTTAGGTTATGTCTACACTACAGAGAAGATCGAAGCTGCCGCTGTTGATCTTCCAGGGTTTGAATTAGCAGGTCTAGTGAAGATATGCTAATTTGAATTGAGGGGCCACCCTGGTCAATGCTTCCTGCTTTCATGAGGAGTAAGGGAAGTTGAAGTGAGAGTATTCTTCCTTCGACTTCCTACAGTGTGCACAGTGCCAAAAGTCAAGCTAAGGTACATTGACATCAGCTATGGAATTAACGTAGCTGAAACTGTGTATCTTAATTTAACCTTATCCCATAGTGTAGCCATACTCGCTGGCTGTGTCTACATTGGCATCCCTTTCCGGAAAAGGGATGCTAATGAGACACATCGCAATTGCAAATCTGCGGGGGATTTAAATATCCCCCGTGGCATTTTCATTTCCATGGTAAACATGGTACCATTTCTCCAATTTGTCCAGATCATTTTGAATTATGACCCTATCCTCCAGATTAGTTGTAACGCCTCCCGGCTTGGTATGATCTGCAAACTTAATAAGTGAACTTTCTATGCCAATATCTAAATCATTGATGAAGATATTGAAGAGAATCGGTCCCAAAACAGACCCCTGTGGAATCCCACTTGTTATACCTTTCCAGCAGGATTGTGAACCATTAATAACTGCTGAGTACGGTTATCCAGACAGTTATGCACCCACCTTATAGTAGCCTCATCTACGTTATATTTACCTAGTTTATTGATAAGACTGTCATGCGAGACCGTATCAAATGCCTTACTAAAGTCTAGGTATACCACATCCACCGCTTCTCCCTTATCCACAAGACTCGTTATCCTATCAAAGAAAGCTATCAGATTGGTTTGACATGATTTGTTCTTTACAAATCCATGCTGGCTGTTCCCTATCACCTTGCCACATTCCAAGTGTTTACAGATGATTTCCTTAATTACTTGCTCCATTATCTTCCCTGGCACAGAAGTTAAACTAACTGGTCTGTAGTTTCCTGGGTTGTTCTTATTTCCCTTTTTATAAATTGGCATGATATTTGCTCTTTTCTAGTCTTCTGGAGAGATCCATTACTAGCAAGAGTATTTGAACAAACTAGGCTGCATTTTGATTTTTTTTTAATTTGCAGTTTTGAGAATAATACAGATGCAGCAGCCTATTTTTGGAAGAGGAGTGAAGTATGAATCTAAATTCTTTGAGGCAGGTATCTTTTTTGTGTGCTCAGAAATGAGCGACTGAATTATCCTCCATCCATAGTTATAAGGAGAGGGAAATTAAGATAATTTATAATCTTCCCCCAGTGCTTACGCTGTATGGGCAATTGTGTATCTAAGGAATAGGCCTGATTTCAGAGACTTAGGTTCAGTTCCTGCCTTTGCTACTTCCTTTGACATCCTGGGTGAATCATGTGAGTACAGCAAATATTTAAGCATATGGCTACATTTAAGCATGTCAGTAGTTCAATTATAATTGATGAGAGAATACAAGTGCTTGAAGCTAGTCACATATTTAAGTACCTTGTTGAAATGAGGCTATTTATTCTTCAGTTTCCTGTATTTAAAAAAAAAAAAAAAAAAGAGAGACTTCCTTTGTGTGATATCAGATGGGCTCTGGCTTGAAACACTCACTCACTAGCTCTGTGGGATTTGTCCTAACTCCATGCTGCTTTGAGTTCCACTGGTGTGTTGAGGCTACTGTCATTCAAATATTTTCTTAGTTCTCAAAGAAAAAGCAGCAATCAGCAAATACTCTTTTTAGGTTCATATTGCAGAGATGGCTGTCCTATCTTAGGGTGCATCTACACAGCACCCTAAACTTGAAATAAGATACTCAATTTGAGTAGCACAAAATGTGCATTTCATTTCAAAATGTGGGTCTACACAGCGCCAAATTTCAAAATAATGCGCTATTTCCAGACATCACTTAATCCTCGTGGAACGAGGTTTACCAGGATGCCAAAATAGCTATCCCGCATCTTAACAAGCTGCCCGTCATCTCGAAAAATTTTCAAAATAATGGGCGCACTATTTCAGGATACCTCTGGTATCCCGAAATAGCCATGCAGTGTAGATGCACCCTTACTTCCAAAATCAAAGCTATTCCACCGTACCCCTTCTTTCCCTGAGCCTCTCTGCAACACCACAAATGAAATTTAAAAAAAAAATCACTGATCAGTTGGTTTGTAAATCTTTTTATTAAAAGAGTTGTCTTTCCACAGTAGTAGAGCTTTGGCACTTACAGTATAAAAATAATCACCGATCATAATTACACCCAATTCCTCTGTCAACTGCATACTAAATGTCAATGCATTTTTTTCCTCATATAAAAACACTTGAGGGACGGGGAACAAAATTGATAAATAACAGTATGAGATACAAAGATACAGCTAGAAAAATAATAGGATCATTTAGAAAGAATTAGGACTGTGCATATTTTAAGTATCACAGTGATGGAGTATGCAGTCACTAGATTATTGCTGGCCGCACACATTGGTGGAAACAAAGTGTGCAGTGTACTTTCCTGTAGAGTCATTCTCATTAATTTGTTTGCATGGCATGGGGGCATTCTGTCCCATTTGTTCCCCCTCCACACTCTACTGGTATTATTTTGATCTCCAACCAATTCCCAATTTAGCGTCTTTCATTTGAAAATACTGAATGGTATTGAACACTGAGAAAAGAGACAATACACTGAGAAAAGTCTGAAACAGTCCAAGCATGATGCTTGGAGAAGCTGTGAGTTTGAGCTTAAGCTGGGTAAGTGACTCTGGAGCAGAAGGACGTTCTCGAAGATCTGGTTTTGCAAGCATCACCCCAGTTTGGATGGTCACCTTGATCAGTTTGGGTCGGTGTTGTAAGACTTACTGGGAGTTACTTTCCCGGTCGATGTTGTCTGTCGGCCTGCACATCCAAGGGCATGAAGCACTCAATCGGGCAATTGACATTCTGTCAGGAGGAAAGAAAACCCATTAGTGCTAGAGACCTCATAATCTCAGCGGAGAGAGGCAGCCAAACTCTTTGCATTTGCAGCTGTTAAGATTTCTCACTACAAACAAACCAGTCTATTGATTTGCCATAACATGAAGGTTTGGAAAATGCAGCAAAGTAGGAGAGTATTCTTTGCTAGTTATAGAGAGATTCCACCTTGTCTAGTTTTTCTACATGTTTCTTCTATTACTGTTCCTCATACTAACCCTTCCTCCGCCCTGGTAGCATATACAGGTACAAACACTTTTTTGTCTTTATCCTATAATAAGGAGCATCATACTCCCTGTTGCTTGGCAGTAAGGTTAAGGCCCTTGTACTTGCTTCTCTTCTAAATGAAGCAAGTGTAAAGCTTATGAAATGGATTCAGATGGCTTTCACTGTGGCTGTTTGTCATGGCTTCATTGTCTGCAACTGGGTTGCCTGTCACTGGTTTTGTGAGTGCCCCCAGTAAGTGACAGATCCTTAAACCAAGGCATAATATTTAAGCTAGTTATAAAACGCTAAGCTTTAGTGACCCTGTTGAGATTTCCTTATTGTCTTCCCTAGCAAAACAAACAGCAACCACCTGCCCTACTTCATATTACTTCAGTATCTGCCACTGTGTCCAAGTGATGGATACATACATTAACTAGGTGCTTTTGCTAACTCAGTAGTAAAAGAATTATATGTTGATATTTAAATCTTCATTCATCCTCAGAGTTAAAACCCCATTAAAATTAATATAAGCAGCTCAGACATATCTGTGAGCTAGTTACCTGTATACTAAGTCAATTGTCAAACAACCCTGTTTATATTCTGTTTAAACTGAGTTTATACTCAGGTCACATTTTAAGGATTCTTTAAAAATTAAGAATTGAGAGACATTTTATATTAAAATTTAAAAGCCAATTATTTGGGAACTTTACAAAAATTACAATTGAACAATAATTTACAAGTCATTATAACTGCATTTAAACCAGGCACAGCTTTTAGATTGTAGTATTAGGATTTTCCGGAATATCTAGTCTCACCTTTGTTTCATTTACATTTAAACCTAACTGATGGATAGTCCTCAGGGTATCTCTTGAGTTGTATCTCTTTTTTTGGTGGAAGGACTATCAACTTTCCCAAAGGAATTCCGTCCTTGTCCTTTAGCTACTCTACCAATGAAGTTATTTACTGTTAGTTTTCCAATCAATAGAGATTAACATTATTAATGAAGAGACATTTGCTTTATGGCTTGATACAGAATATATATAAATATGTATATACATATATTTATGCTTTGTGAAGATACACGTTGAAAAACGACAAGAGAAACTGGCTGCGGATCGATACACTGTCTGGAAAGATATATACTGCCGCTCCTTTGGATCGAGAAGTAGAACATGAATATAGAGTACAAGTCATTGCGACAGAAGAAAGTAAGCAATGAAAGCACCATGTATGTTTTCCAAGGCTACATTCACAGCTAACTGCAACACCTTGACTATGCCTGATACAGTTATAGCAGCTGCACTGTCAAATTAGTTTTGATGCATCTTCATGATGTTTATGCTTGGACTGATATATTCCTTTAGGAATTACTTGTAAAATGAAACATCAAATGATTGATAATATGAATTAGGGCTGTCAAATAATTAAAAAAAAAATCTCAATTAATGACAAAATTTAAAAAGTTGCAATTAATCACAATTTACTGAATTGCACACTGAACTGCAATAGAAAACCAATTTAAATTTATTATAAATATTTTGATTATGTTTCTACATTGTCAAATATAGTGATTTCAATTACATCATAAAATATGAAGTGTAAAGTGCTGATTATTATTATTTCTTACATTTATTTGCACGGTAAAAAAGATAAAAACAGACAGTATAAGCTACAAGTTGAAGCATGAAAGGGCATACAATTGTCTAACATATCTGGCACATAAATACTTTGCAACAGCAGTTATAACAGTGCCATGTGAAAGCTTGGTCTGACTATCAAAATACATGTTTAAAAAGTGACTTTAGCAGCCAGTTCTGACTGACCACATCCCCGGAGTACCTCCAGAAACTGCCTCTGTACTCTACAGACCGAGTAGTTCCTGCACTTGTCTTGCTGGTGTTGCACCACCATACACACTCACTTCAAGATCACGGTGGTTGCAAAAGTAACAGTCCAGTTCTAAGTGATTGTGAGTTTGAAGTCCAAGACCTGAAATAAAAATTTGCCCTGTTTTCAATTCTATAGATAAAAAACCTCAGAGCTCCACAGCAGACTTCACACTATACATAAAAGATGTGAATGATAATCCTCCCCGGATAGTAAAAGGTGATTCACTATTCTTCTGCCATCCGCTCCAGAACGGAGTAAAAGCAGAGATCCAGGCCACCGATGACGATGAACAACTGTATTTTCCAAATTTCACTTTTTCTCTTGGTGGTGATGAAAATGTACAGAATGTCTGGGAAATTTCTAGAATAGATGGTAAGTTTTTCAATTTTATGGAAAAAATAATATGCACGTGTACTTGTATATATTTAAAAAGCGGTTGGATTTCTCTTTCATTCTTACTTTTGTGTGGTATATATCACACAATGAAAATATTTAGGAGTGTTGAGAAAGTAATAGCTATTTGAGTGCATGATTGTTGCACCATTTTAGGTTGTTGTAGGCAATTATATTTGGCTTGATATTATATTGATAAAACATTATCTGTAAGAGATGATGCTTTTACTTAGTTTGCTAGCAAACTGGGCTTTTGCTGACACTTAGAAGAGAAGAAACACATGACTCAAAATGCTAAGTGAGTCTACTTCAGTATAAATAGTGTAAACTCATTTGAGATAAAGATACAGAGCAGCTAGAGTAATCAGTATGGGTATGTCTACACTAGCCCCCTCGTTCGAACTAGGGAGGCTAATGTAGGCATTCGAAGTTGCAAATCGAGCCCGGGACATAAATATCCCGCGCTTGATTTGCATCTTCCTGGCCAGTTGCCATTTTTTTTTTTTTTTTTTTTTGCAATTTACAAGACCGGACTAACTGCCCACATCTACACGCAGCAGGGACCTGGTAGTTCGAATTAAAGCCCTAGTTCAAACTACCTGTTATTCCTCCTGGAATGAAGTTTAACAGGTAGTTCGATTTAGGGGCTTTAATTCGAACTACTGGGTCCCTGCCGCGTGTAGACGTGGGCAGTTAATCCGGACTTGTAAATTTCAAAAAATGGCAACCGGCCTAGAAAATGCAAATCAAGTGCAGGATATTTATATCGCGGGATTGATTTGCAACTTTGAATGCCTACATTAGCCTCCCTAGTTCGAAGTAGGGGGCTAGTGTAGACATACCCTATATTAGAGACTTCCCCCCAGGACATCGCATTTTAAGGGGCATGTTCTGATATTGGATGTGGCAATGTGCAAAATCAGACTACAGATATCTGGTATGTATTGTAGCTGGGCTAGCTAGTACATTTTGTGAAGGCTTCCCCACTACACTGGCTTAGTTTGAAAGCAGAAAAGAGTGGGCATGTCCCGCTAGGTGACCTTGGGGGCACTTTATAGGAAAGCCTGCCATGCTAGGTTGCCATGGGGTGCAATGTGAGAATGGCCTACCCAGTCGGTTTCGATATTCTGAAATGGCTGCATGAGTGTGGCATTCCTTCTGCAAATAAGATGTGGTGTAGTGTTGAAGTGAAGATGCAGAAAACACTAGGTGAGATTGTCTTGCCTGTGTACTGCAGGAGGTTAGATTACATGATTATAAAGGGACCTACATGGTTTTTCAGGGGGAAGGAATAGATCACATGTAAAGAAATCCCTGAACATCTGTTTCTTTCTCATACATCCACCTGCTCCCTGCTCTGGCCTGTCTGTGCCCTGCTTTTGCCTCATTGCTCGCTTGCCCTAGAATATCCCCTGTGCCTGGGGTCCCTGCATAGGTGGCATAGAGCCAATGGAGGCAGCTAAGTGCCTGGCACAAAAGCTGCCTGCCCCTGGTGTTATTCCTGGTGGGGCTAGAGAGGGAAGCTTGCATTGGCCCTGAAGCCCCTTGACAGCAGCTTGCCAGAGGAAGGGGGCTGTAGGCGCTGTAGGTAAAAGTAAACTGTACTCACTCAGTGTGGGGTTTTGTGTATACAACTCTCACTCATTCAATTCTTTAATGGTAATCAGCTCTCCAATGTATGGATTTGGGGAACTGCTAGACTGTACAGTCTTTAAAAAAACACAACCCCCCCTACAAAACAAGAATCTGGTCACTAGGTCATCTGCACATGCAGGTGGCATGGAGCGAAACTGACTACATTTCACAATTCCTCATTGTCCTGAGCTGAATGTCTTGTTTCATGTTGACAGGCACCCACGCTTACCTTTCCCCGAAGCAGAGCAACCTAGAGAAAAAGAATTACATAGTTCCATTAAAAATTAATGACAATGGAAAGCCACCTTTGGAAGGAAACCTGACAGTTCAAGGTACGTCTTACACTGCATGGATGCTACTGGTGTAGAGAAAGGCAATATTCATGGGCAATGTTATAAAGTTGCTAAACATGTCTGCTAACCTTATTCCATTTCTCATTGACTGCAGTAAATGTCTGCAAGTGTACCGATGATCATAGATGTTTTATAGAAACAGAGAACCACGGGGGGATGCCAACCATTGGCATGGCGATTGGGATTCTTCTTGGCGTATTGCTGTTCATTGGTAAGTGATAAATCTTACAGACATGATAACTTTAACTTCTCAGTTTAGTGTTACCCATTGTTTTAACTGCTGCAAGCGGTGGGATGCCTACATTTATACAAACAAAGCATGACTGTGCAAAGTGAGATTTTCTTGCACTGGGTCTTATTTAGATAGGCTTGAGCTGATGGTATGCAGGAAAACAAGAACAAGATGGAATCTTTTTGGGAATTCTTCTAGTTAACTTAAGCACAAAAGGAGTCAGGATGACGGCCTGATGAGATCCAGTCTCCTGTCCCCTCCCCAATTTTGCCCAGTAAGTAAATAAACAAAAGAATTCTGAGCACAGTCTGTGATTTTTGGATGACATTACCACAGTCGGCAGACTGGACGACTAGGACTCAGATTTAGAGAGGGAGAAAATATAAAAAAGCTGATGTTAAATAAAATGCAATGACATGCAAAGGGGTAAGGCACACTTATAAGATGATATAAAAGAATGTATGGAAGCTTTCAATTTCTTTATATACCTGGAAAGAAAGAATGGGCATCAGAGAACAAGTTTTTTGCCCTGCAGCTAGGAACAGGAAATCAAATGCTGATACACAAGCCTCTGGAAGAGTTATGCCTATAATTTAGACCTTAAAAGATGAAAGGGGGAAAGCAAAGATAGTGTGATTAAAAGAAAGTTGAGAATGGAAGAGGCCAGGCTCAGATTCTGAGGCTGACAGAGAAAGTCCTTACATCAGGTCTACATTCAAATCACATTTTCCCTGTAATACCTTTATCTGACCCCTCATTTAATATGAACTGGAGACCAAGTGTATGATAGGAAAATTAGATTAACAGAAATAGCAGCACATGATGTCTAGCCATAAGGATTTAATCTCACATCACTACCAAATTGCTATTTGCTGTTGGTTTGCCAGCATTCTCAATGAAAATATTTTGTCCAGCTCTATACTGGCCTAGTTTAAAGAGGCCACTGAAAGTAAGTTTTAAAAAAACCCTGTGTATGACCCATGATTTTTAGAATAAACGACTGTTCCAAACATACAGCTTCACTTTCACATACATAAAGGATTTTCCCCCTTTGAATCAGGAACAAGAACCATAGCTGCTCGGACAGATTTAGCAGGGAGTTCGGATCTGGGCAATGAATAGGATGAGAGATCTGAAAAGACTTTCATGTGTGGAGAGATTGAAAAGATTAAGACTGTTCAGTTCAGAGTGGAGACTAATAAGAGATGACATAGTAAAGATATACAGAATAATAAATGGTATAGAGAGAATAACTCAGGTATTCTTATATGCTTTCTCAGAAGAGAAGAACAAAGGCCCATTCAGGGTATATCTACACTGCAGAGGTTTTTTTTTTTTTTTTTAAATGAACATTTTTCTGAAAAAAATTAACTTATGTACACACTGCAATCATGTTCTTTCAGAAAAAAATAGAAAGAACAGAGGGTTTTTTCCAGCATAGGTATTCCTCATTCTGTGAGGAAGAACGCCTTTTTGTGAAAGAGCTCTTTTGCGTGTGGACGGGGAAAAGAGGTTTTTTGAGCGGAAAGAGGAAAAAGCACAGGTGCCCTGGTGGCCAGTCTGTGCATAGCAATCAGAGCTTACTTTTGAGAGAGTGTCCATGCAGTCTGGATGCTCTCTTTCGCAAAAACACATTGCTTTTTTGATGCGCTCTTACGCAATAAGTTCTTGCTACAGATCTCTTCTGATAAATGCTTTTTGCGCAAGAAGCCTGTAGTCTAGACGTAGCCCACAGGCTAGACATAGCCTCATTGAAAATGAAAGATGACACATTTAAAACTGATAAAATGGGGAAAAAATAGCAGAATAATTGCCACAAAATATCATTGAGGCAAAGGACTTAGAACAATTTTAGAAAAGGTCTGAATATTCATACTGATAACAAGAACATACGCAGTTAACTAGTTAGGATAAGAAAGACAAGGGATGAAACCCCTCATGCCTCAGGGCGTAAAATATGCTCTAACAGATGGGGATTAAGGAAGAAATTTCCCCTGCAGGCAGGGGATCCCATAATTGTCCAGTATGAGATATCTTATACCTCTCTGCGAGATATCTGATCCTGACCACAGTCATGGTATATCTACACTACAGAGAAGTTTGAAGCTGCCGCTGTTCATCTTCCAGGGTTTGAATTAGCGGTTCTAGTGAAGACGGCTAATTCAAACTGAGAGGGGTACTCTGGTAGTTCTGCTTCTACAAGGAGTAAGGGAAGTCGAAGGGAGAGTGTTCTCCCTTCGACTTCCTTCAATGTAGATAACACCGAAAGTCGAGTTAAGGTACTTTGACTTCTGCTATGCAATCAACATAGCTGAAATTGCATATCTTAATTCGACCTTATCCTGTAGTGTAGACATACCCTCAGAGAGAAGCAATTAAACCAGAAGAACTAGAATTCTGATCCAGTTTGGTAATTCCTATATCCACTTTGTTCCAGTTAGGAATGAGAAAGTATTGTGAATAGTTTGTGTATGAACAAAGATTAATTCCTTGCTTAAATACTTTAAAAATGTTTTAAAATTGCCTTTGTTAAAATTAGGCCCTGATTTTTCTTTTCTTTCAGGTTTGATTGTGGGAGGAGTATTTCTCAAAATGAAAATCGATGGAAAGAAAGAATCTAAGACAAATGCAGCTGACCCTTCTGAATTGAAAACATTAAATTAATTATTGTTTGTTTTACCAGGAGAACAAATGACTTTTCTAACTCAGACCTCACATAAATGTGTGTTCCAAAACTCTTGACACGAGCACGTGCATGCAGGTTTCTTCTACAGCCCACTTTTATTAGATATTAGGATTCAGTTACAAAATCAAAACCACACAATGTATAGTGACAGCTATTAATAAAAATATCATTCCTTCCCAGGAATTAATCTGTTCTGGTACCAAAAAGCTGTGATCCCACAAAGTCTTACAGTCCTGTTAATGTGGAAACTTCTAGTAAATGCAGACTACTCTATATTCTTAGAGAAAGTTTTTTTTTCCCCACAACTCTCTTTACACCAACAAGTTAACAGAATGTCAAGTAATGTACACAGAGAATGTAATTAAATGAAGTTCTGCAGTAAATTTAGGGCTTTCCCACAAAGTCAGAGAGATCCCTTGACTGAAATAACTGCTCCCCCAAATTATCTACACCTGGAGATATTATGACATGAAATACTCTCACCTGCTTATTATTATATTAGTTTTGTGAATTTAGAACAGGAAGAGTTACCTTAGCTCACCAATATGTTAAGCAATTTAGGTTAGTGAAATAGTACGTATTTTTCCCCTTTATTGTGTGTATTCATGAATAGTCTATATAGTTTGTGTGCGCACCATTGTCCTGCTTTAATATTCCAAGAAGAGCAAAAAAAGAAAGATTAGTAAAGACTGTACTAATTAGTTGACATTATAATATTGCAGATAACTCCTGGCCCTGTACATATTATATAGTAGTTATGTATTCTCTCAAGGGATTTATTGCCTGTCCATGAAAAAAGGATAGAAAACTAATGCTGTTTGGCAATACTTAACAGAAAGCTTTCCATGATAGAGATCTAAAATGGTAACTTGACATGTATCTAATTCATGCCTGTTTATATCAAGAGGGAATTTATAATCAATGTGTAGTGCACCGAAAATGTCTATGCCTACAAGCTGTGTCTTGGATTTCAGTGAATTCCATTTGGCCCATATATCACATTTTGGGAAGAAAGTACCATTGGTTTAGAAAATAGGCTTATATTAATGCATTATTTGGTGGTATGCTGATAAAGGACTATTTGTTTTATTTTTTTAAGCATGGAATAAAAACTTACTTATGTTCTAAATTTGAAAGGCTGTGTTCTTTTAAAAGAGAGAGGGGGGAAAAGCTCCGCTAGAAGTGGGGAGTGGTATGAGTGGGTGGGTGAATGTTTACTTAGAAATTGTTAGTCACTTTTGTATAAAGTACACATCTGGAAGGAAAGGAACATTTCTCTGGTATAATTTCATTAAAATAAGTTTTCCTAGAGTACTGCCAATAGAAACTTTGTTTTTGGCCTTTTGCCATGTCTCACTACATTATAGTGTCCCTCTGTTGAAGGTTGGAGAGATTTTGTTGCTTGCTGTGAGGGTTATTTCACCTGCTGAAGTGTATTTTATAGTGAGAAGATCTGTTCATTGTGCTTGACATCTGTGACATTGAAGTACATCAGAGGATGCAGTGTTAGGGATGAGTGCATTTACATTTGTATAAATCATATAAATAAAATAAATGATCAGGAACCAAAGACCCCCATTGTATTTGTGTATACTACTAGGCATTGCTTAACTCAATTAATTTTTGTTTTTCCTTATTGTTTTGGGGTGAGACTAGGGATGAGGGGTTCAATATGGACGCTTCCCCAGGGAGAGAGGACAATCCCAGCAGCTTGAGCTAGATGAGAAGCTACTGTCTCCATGTCCACTGCAGCCCCAGAAGGTACTGCCAGGGGAGTGGTACATGGCCCCCAGCCCAGGCAGGCCCAGTTTCAACTGCCCCTGTGCTTACATGACAGTAAGTTGTCATGGGATAAGAGGGAAGGTCCTTTTATGGATTGATAATTGGTTAAAAGACAGGAAACAAAGGGTAGGAATAAATACATTTTCAGAGTGGAGACAGGTAACTAGTGGGGTCCCCAAAGGTCTGTCCTGGGGCCCATCCTATTCAACTTACTTATAAATGACCTAGAGAAAGGGGTAAACAGTGAGGTGGCAACATTTGCAGATGATACCAAACTGCTCCAGATAGTTAAAACCAAAGCAGACTGTGAAGAGCTTCAAAAAGATCTCACCAAACTAAGTGACTAGGCAACAAAATGGCAAATGAAATTTAATGTTGATAAATGTAGAGTAATACACATTGGAAAATATAATCCCATATCTTGGGTACTCATTTAGCTACAACTACTCAAGAGAGAGATTTTGGAGTCATTGTGGAGAGTTCTCTGAAAACATCCACGCAGTGTGCAGCGGCAGTCAAAAAAGCAAATAGAATGTTAGAAATCATTAAAAGGGGATAGAGAATAAGACAGAGAATATCTTATTGCCACTATATAAAACTATTGTATGCCAACATCTTGAATACGGTACTAGATGCAAATGTGGTTGCTTCATCTCAAAAAAGATATATTGGCATTGAAAAAGGTTCAGAAAAGGGCAACAAAAATGAGGGAGCTGGAGGGGGTCCCATATGAAGAGAAATTAAAAAGACTTGGACTTTTCATCTTAGAAAAGAGGAGACTATGGGGAGATAGAGGTCTATAAAATCATGACTGGTGTGGAAAAAGTAAAATAAAGAAAAGTTATTTGCTTATTCCCACAGTATAAGAACTAAGGGTCACCAAATAAAATTAATAGGCAGCAGGTTTAAAACAAACAAACAAAAGGAAGTTTTTAACTCAGAGCACGGTCAATGTGTGGAACTCCTGGCCAGAGGATGTGGTGAAGACTAGGACTTTAACAGGATTGAAAAAAGAGCTAGACAGATTCATGGAGGTTAGGTCCATCAATGGCTATTTGCCAGGATGGGTAGGAGTGGTATCCCTAGCCACCGTCTGGAAATGGATGGCAGAAGAAGGATCATGTGAGGATTACCTGTTGTGTTCCCTCCCTCTGAGCCATCTGGTATTGGACACTGTTGGCAGACAGGATACCGGGCTAGATGGACTTTTGATCTGACCCAGTATGTCCATTCTAAGGTTCATATGTTCTTATGTTCTCCCCAGGCATAGTGAGGAATGCAGCAAACTATATATTTTCCCCTCACTCCCTCATGAAGGGGAACAGCTGGCAATGATCCCCCCTCTCTAAGGGTATGTCACTAGCTCATTAATTCGAGCTAGGTAGGCAAATGAGGCGACCGGAGATGCAAATGAAGCCCGGGATTTAATTATCCCAGGCTTTATTTGCATGTTCCCGTCCGGTCGCCATTTTGAAATGTCACTAGCCCGAACTCACTACTGCGCGGCTACACGCAGCAGTGAAACGTTAATTCGAACTAAGTCCTTAGTTTGAATTAACTGTTACTATGTAGATTTCTTTTTATTAGGCTCAAAGATAGCAAAAAATGTTTGAACACATTCTGCTTCTCTTTACAAGATTAAACATTCATCGCTTCAGGCTTTAAACATTATCTCCAAAATTCTGATCTGTATTGGTTAAACAGACAGGAAGTATATTTTTTCCAGTTGTCTCGTAAATGTGTTTTGTAAGAAAAAAATTAAAGGATTTTAATCTGAGTTTGTAAAACATACGCCAATGTTCCAATTCTTGCTTCCAGTCACAGACACACTCCATGAAAGAGACCTACTTGATACTCAGTGGCTACGTCTAGACTAGCATGATTTTCCGCAAATGCTTTTAACGGAAAAGTTTTTCCATTAAAGGCATTTGCGGAAAAGAGCATCTAGATTGGCACGGACGCTTTTGCGCAAAAGCACTTTTTGCAAAAAAGCATTCATGCCAATGTAGACGAGGTTTTGCGCAAGAAATCCCCGATCGCCATTTTTGCCATCGGGGCTTTTTTGTGCAAAACAGTCCTGAGCTGTCTACACTGGCCCTCTTGCGCAAATGCATTTGCGCAAGAGGGCTTTTTCCCAAACGGGAGCATCATAGTATTTGCGGAAGAACACTGACAATCTTACATTAGATCGTCAGTGTTCTTGCGCAAATTCAAGCGGCCAGTGCAGACAGCTGGCAAGTTCTTCCGCAAAAGCAGGTACTTATGCGGAAAAACTTTCCAGTCTAGATGCACATTGATGGTACTGCTTCATGTGGCACAGATGTTTCCTCATCCTTCCTAACAGGTATTCCTAAGTACAATTCATAAGTAGTCTGGGAAGATTCTTTTAAAAAAATAGCTTCTCCTCTTATTTCTTCAAGTAACTTTAGTTAAAACTGGTACTTTAGGATGCCAAGCGGTTGTTGTAACTGACTAAGATCTTGTGTTCATTGGTCAGCGAAGAGATGGGCAACACACACTGACAGGTGATTATAAACCATTCCTTGATGGAAGATGGTCGTTTCCAGTATTTGAAGCCCATGACAGTTAAAATCCCAGAAAAGCCCCCACTTCTGTAATGGTCACCAGGTTGGCTGATACTGGGGAATGAACTGGAGACCCCATGAGTCTCTTGCTTGAGACTATAAAGCCAGGTCCTGTAGCTGGACACAGTAACAGAATCACGTACTCAATTATTGGGTATAAAAGGGACATATAAACACCCACTGACCAGCTAGTTACAGCTAATTACGTAAGTGCACCGAGTGCAGTTGAAAATTCCTGAAGATATTCAGAATGAAGAATTTGATTCTTTAAACAAATTTTCAAATGACTTGAGCCAGGAAAAACATTTCTAACTTGTTATCATTATATTACATATTCCAAAAGCAAAACAGAAGATAAAAAAACATGTAATAGCAGATCTTTGAACTTGTAGCTGAACAGCTTGTTCTAATATGCTAGATGTTTGTTGGCCAAATGATGCATAATAGCTAAAATAGGTAGGACTATTAGACATACAATGAGGTGAGCAGAAACATAGGGCTCTACACAGGGGAATGGATATAGAACAAGTACAAATCTGAAGGACGTCACTGCAAATTAACTCAACAGAACGATGACTAATGTAGTGTTACGTAAGTTGCAGTGACTACTGTAATTGTTATTCATATGATCATTTGGACTGGATAGGACATCTATTGGCTCATTTGCTCCTTACTTTAGAATCATAATCAGATTGATTGAATTATTTCTAAACCAACTGTGACCAATATGTGTTAATGATAAATATGTTTAGTGAATGAGATCCCACATCCTCCTTTACCAGCATATTCCACTAGTCTACTGTTACTAGAGCTAAAACATTTCCTAATATTTTAACCTATATGTTCTCTGATGCAATTTAAGTTATAAGAACATATAATAATGTCCATACTAAGGTCAGACCTATGGTCCATCTAGCTCAGTATCCTGTTTTCTAATAGTGGATGGTGTCAAATATTTGAGAGAATGAACAGAACAGGGCAATTATTGAACAATTCACCCTGATCAGTCAGTCTCAGCTATTAACAGTCAGAGATTTAGGGAACCCCAAAATATGGGGTGTTTCCTTAACCATCTTGGACCTATCCTCTGTTACCCTATCTAATTCTCTTTTTGTACCCAGTTATACTTTTGGCCTTTACAATAGTCCCTGGCAACACATTCCACAGGTTGATTGCATGTTGTATGAATAAATATTTCCTTATGTTTCTTTCTAAACCTGTTGCTTATTACTTTCATTGGATGACCTATAGTTCTTTTGTAGTTCTTTTGTTATGTTAAGGGGTAAATAACACTTCCTTATTAACTTTCTCCACAATATTCATAATTTTATAGATATCATACCTCCATCCCACCCTTAGTCATCTCTTTTCCAAGCTGACCAGTCCGCATGATGTGGATGTACCATAGATTTATATAGTGTCATTATGATTCTGTATTTTCTGTATTATTAATTATCCCTTTCTTAATGGTTCCTAATATTGTTAGCTTTTTGGACTGTTGCTGTATATTGATCAGATGCAAATTTTCCATGATGACATCAAGATCTCTTTCTTGAGTGGTAGCAGCTAGTTTAGACTCCACCATTTTGTATGTATACTTTTCCAGTGTGCATTAAATTGCATTTGTCAATATTGTCTTTCCCCTGCCATTTTCTTACTCAGTCTCCCAGTTTTGTCAGACCTCTTTGTAACGTTTCACAATCAGCTTTGGACTTAATTATCTTGAGTAATTTTTTATCATTTTCAATTTTGTCACCTCACTGTTCACCCCATTTCTAGATCATTTATGAATAAGCCCATCACATGTTTCAGTTTTTATTGACTAATGAGAGTAATTGGTTATTACAAGTATATTAAATAAACTAATCATAAAATTAATCTATATGCTAGAAAAGAAGAAAGAGATACCTGATCTAACAATTCCATCAAGTGGTGAATTGTTCATCTTCACCAGAAGATTATTAATACATACATTCAAAATTAATAAAGTTGATATAAATCAGGAAGATTTGGAAATGAAGATCTGAGGATCACTTGATTCTGGAATGAGTGTTCGTAAAGAGTTGTAGATTAGTATGCATCTATCAAAAGTAAGATATCATACATGCACTAATTTGTATATGTCATCTAAAATTGTGCTTGCAAGTTGTGCATACACCAATCAAATATCTAGATGCCAACAGTGACTGTGTACTTTGCATATG